CCCCCCAGGTGACCCTGGCTGTGGCTGTGACCGCGCTGCCGGCCACGTTTGAGCTGGCCGTGCCCAGCCGGGACCCCACCAAGGACTTCGACACCAAGGTGCGGCCGCGCGGGCCGAAGATTTGAAATCATCACAAACAATAGACACTGCCTGTGCAAGCCGATGTGCAGGCCGGTAGCACGAAGAAAGCAACTCTTGTGGGGTGTCGAGGGGCCGCCCTCGCGCCGCTAGCATCCCACCCACCCGCGCTGCACACCTGGTGCTGCCGCTGTTGCAATTCGACCGGCATCACTCCTTGTCTTGCCGATCTGCTGCACTCAGGTTCGATCTTTGGCAAGCCCACCTCAACCGAACAACTGTCCGCCCCATGCCCCGGCGACCAATCGTGACCCGGGCTCAGCAACCAATCATGCACCCCCTGCCGCGGCATTCAATCGTGGCTCCTACACCACCTCCCACTCCCAACCTGGCCCCCCCACCATCCAATCCGCTCATCACCCCCCAGATCGTCAAGAACTGGTACCTGTTTGTGTGCGTGGCCTCCGGCCTGTGGGGCGGCCTGGCCATCGGCCTGCAGACTGAGTACTTCACGTCCAACCGCTACAAGCCGGTGCAGGTGCGGCGCCCTGAAAGCATGTGTGAGTGTGTTTGCGTGCACGTGTGAGTGTGTGTTTGCGGGGGAAGGGTGCGCCTGTTTGCATGTCTGTGTGAGGGGTGCATGTTTTGTGTGTGAGCTTGTGTGTATACGTGTGTGTGTGTGTGTGTGTGTGTGTGTGTGTGTGTGTGTGTGTGCATATGTACAAGTGAGTGCGCGGTTTCTTATACGACTTGGCCCTGGTATTTTGCCTCGGACCACCAGAAGACGGGTTGGTGTGTGGAAGGTGTGTGTGCGTGCGTATCTTTTGGTGGATTGGGGTGCAGGAGCTGGTACCTGCCACATGGATAAGCGGCGCTTGGTTTGGGAAGTCACAAGACTGCCATCCATGTCCAAACCCCTACCCGTTAACCATCAAGAGCTGCGCGTGGTGCCTCGGCCAACGGTCTTAACGGTTGCGCGGGGGCGGCCCCCGGCACCTTGCCCGCCCTCCCTCCTGGCAAACTTGGTCCAATCCCTGTCACCCTCTCCGATTAAAATCAAGCAAACCCCCCTACCCCAGTGTCTGCTGTTCCCTCCACGCCAGCCGCTCCTCTGACGTCGCATCCAATTGCGTCACCCCACGGTCAACCCTTTGCCCATTCAACCCTCCTGACCCGGTCAAGACCACACACTCATTCCGCAAACTCCCCAAAACTCGCCTCAAACCCCGCAGGACGTCGCTGACTCGTGCCGCACCGGCCCCGCCACTGACATCATCTTCGGCCTGGCCCTCGGCTACAAGTCCACCATCATCCCCTGCTTCGTGATCGCGATCTGCATCTACATCGGCAACACGTGAGGGTTTGGCTTTAGGGGTTTGGGTTTGTTTGGCGTCGGCCCCTTGACATCGGCATCAAATGGGTTGGCCCGTCACTCTTTTTTGCTCACTCGGCTTGAGGCACCGCAGATCCCAGCCAGGGGCAGGGCGCACCCTCTATGTTCGGCTCCGCTGTGCCAGTGTGACAACTAGCATTAACAGGGCGTTTTGAATCGGCATCATCGGGCGCCTTTGCACCAGCAAGCCGCAGCGCCGCCCATCCGCCCGCCGCCCGTGTCCTCCAACCTACTAC